CTGTGAGATACAGGGAGCTGGACTAGATGGGCCCTTGGCCTGATCCAACAGGGCTCTTCTTATACGTTCTTATGTTCTTAAGGAGCTGAAATTCCCAAAGCTTACCAATATAATATTAATAATATAAGCGTATTCAGTGTTAACATCTCTGGAATAAAACATTAATGCTGTACTTCCTGTCATTGCAAAATGTGATACATGTGATTGTGGAATTCATAGAATCAAAGTATCATAAAATAATTGAGTTGGAAGGAGCGTACAAGGCCATGGGGTCCCACCCCCTGCTCAATCCTGTAATCCAAGTCAAAGCAGATCTGACACAAGGTTGAGCAATTTTCTCTTGAATGACTCCAGCATGGGTGCACTCACCACCTGCCAAGTTAACTGGTTCCAGTGTCATACAGCTCTAACAGTTAAGACGTTTTTCTCTATATTCAGCCTAAATCCGGCTTCCTGTACTTTGGGCCTTACATCATGTGTCTTGCAGTCTGGGATGAGTGAGAACAGATCCTGCCTTTCCTCAGTACAACTGCCTTTCTAGTACAGTGGTGCCTCGCAAGACGAGCACTTCGTTTTACGACGAAATCGCATAACGACGAAGTTTATGCGATCACAAAAGCGATCGCAAAACAATGTTTCCTATGGGGTTTTTTTTGCTATGCGATGATCGGTTCCCTGCTTTGCTAACTAATTATTGCAAAACGACGATTTTCACACAGCTGAGCGGCAGTTTCAAAATGGCCACCGGGTTAAAAAAAATGGCCACCCGCTGTTTTCTGGGATGGATTCCTCGCTGCACGGTCAGCGAAAATGGCCGCGCTATGGAGGATCTTCGCTGGACGGTGAGTTTCAAGCCCATAGGAACGCATTAATCGGGTTTTAATGCATTTCTATGGGCTTTTTAAAATCGCTTTACAATTTTTCGTTCTACAGCGATTTCGCTGGAATGAATCAACATCATAATGCGAGGCACCATTGTATTTGAAAAGTGCTATCATATCTGCCCTCAGTCCCCTTTTCTCAAGGCTAAACATTTCCAGATTTTCAGCATTTCCTCATAGGGGTTGGTTTCCAGTCCCCTGATCATCCTCAGGTGAGTAGAAACCATCATCCTGGACTTGACTAAAACAAAACTCTTCCAAATGTTGAAAAAGAGAAAACACCTTGCGGCTTGGTGGGAGAAGAGTGAGCAGAGTAAAAAATCTGAATTAGCCCCAGGATAGACCTGCAAGGGGAAAAAATGAGGTGGGAGGAAAAAGAGAGAGAAAGAGAAAGGGTAATTGTTGGGATTTCGGGAGGAGGGAAAAAGAATCATGACAGCTGAGTGGAGAGGAAGACTGGGTCACTGGATGGGTCCATGGGAGGACGAACCAAGAACAGGCATGCCTCGGTAGATGAGAAGGAAGAAGCAGTGGGAAGCATGAGAGATTTAAGGGGTCCTAAATTATGCAAAGAGGACCACCGGTGCTAGTTCTGAATTAAAATGAAATACGCAGGCAACAACAACAACAAAAGAGCAGAATAGAAAATAACTGATAAAGGAGGAAAGCACACTTACTTCTAAATATTTTAAAGATGACGAAGGTGTGGGGGAGGAGGCATGGAACCATTGGGAGCATTGCAGGGGTTCTCCCCTCAATTTTAGCCTTCCAATGGACAAGCTAAATCCCTACACAACACTACTCTTTATGACTTAGTAGATCATGATTAAGTTTAGAAAGTAAGGAAAAACCTACCAATGATTAATAAGAGTCTGGACAACAAATTCATACCAGTGGCTGTGCTTTGCATGCCTGTATTTTCGTTATAGCTGATGTTGCAGGCAGGTGGCCCAACTGTCTTGTTCCTGGGACCCTATATTTTAGGTAAATTCACATTGACCCATTTGCTGGAAGGACCTGCTTTGTAGCTAGACATTTGCAAACCTAAACATGTCTCCTCAGAGTCCAACTGAGCTGGATGGAACAATACTGCTGGGTCAGCAGGCACAGGACCGCCTTCCCCTAGCCGCCCCCAGGGTGTGCTTCTGGATCAGGCTTTTAGTACCACGGCAAACAAGTCACAGAAAGATGTATTCTCAGTATAACAGTTATGAATGGCACACTAGAAAGAGGACTTGTGAATGATAACAGCACATGCAAATCTTAGCACAGGTCAGGCTCTTGCCCATCGAAGCAAGAATACAGAAAGCTTCTCTGTGTGTCTCCTAAGTTGGCAGCAAATTCAGTGCCTTGGGTCCCAATGAAAACGAAAGAACGGCTCTCTCAAACAGAGAAACCGAGGCTTGCATTCAAAGACACCTGAACCACTAGGGTGTTGATTTGGAGAAACTGCTGGTTTTTTTGTTTTTTGTTTTTGCAACCTAGCATGCTGCTTGTAGTTTGTTTGGCTAGGAAGGACATTTCTGGGCCAGACTATTTAACACTAACCAATCATTCCTTTCCTGCCTCTGAATTCAAAGAGAGCTTCGCCTCTTTGTTCTGTTCTCTTTCCCTCTCTTTAGTTTGTTGAAATCTCTTGATGAATACAGTACATTATTGAATGATACAGTACATCATTGTTTCAAATCTCACTCCTAAGACCATTTCTCTTGTGACACCCCAGTTCGCTTCCAATGTTTGCAGCCTTTTATTCTACTGGTGTAAGAGGCTTTATCCTCATCTAACCACACAGAACTACCCTATATTTACCTACCTGGTGTAAATGAAATAGAATTGTACTGTTGCTGTACTGTTTCATCCTTAAGGTGACAAAATGCAATGGTGTAGCTAATCAAGGATGTTGGAAGTAATTTTTTATAAGGAGGGAGAAAAAACTTCATAGTGGCATGTTACCACAATCTGTGCACAAAGTACATGCCATTACAACTCAGTGGCCAGAATCCTATTGCTTTCATACACTCTCATAACTAAAGCAGCATAAATCGAATTGAAGCAAGGAGTGGTTTAGGAATACAAAGCAGGGACTCATTCATTAGCAGTACTTTGCTGTTACAGTTTATACTGTTGTCCTTAATGCTAGTGTACGTAAGGGATAGAACTATGGCCAGTGTGTCTGTGTCCAATGTACGAAATTTAGGATTGTGAAGGTTGGTGGGGGAACTCATGCGTCCCCTGCCTAGGGCTAGTAGAATCTCTAAATAAATATAGAATGAACACAAGAGGGCGCTGTATATTCTAGCTCGAATCCTTCCGTTTTCCTAAGCTTTTTAAAAAATTCTTAGGATTGTATTAAAAAGGATGAAATAGAAAAGCATACAATAAATTAATGCATAAAATTAATGAATACATCCTGTGCCCTCTACGCACACGCGCTCACTCCTTGAGAAATATGTCCCCTCCCTCAGTGGGCCCTTATCAGTTTTAGAAAAAGCAAGGATAGCTGTTTGGGTCAAAAACAACAACAAAAATTCGAATGGCAGAATCCATGCAGTCCTAACGTCCGATCCATGAGAGGCGCAGACGAAGAGGGCCTTTCCTGTCTGTGTGACTTTGGCAGGCGACCCCCCCCCCTGCGCTGTTCCGGACACCTGCCGTTTCCCCAAGGGCGCGTTTGCAGCAAGAGCGAGGGGCGGCGTGGCCGCGCGGCACAAACCCCTTTCCCCGAAAGAGAGAGAAAGAGAGGCGCGCGCCAAGTTTCCCCGGAAAGGGCGGGAAGGAGACGCCAGCTCTTTCTGAAGGCGGGGCGGGAGCCCGCGCGGGACGGGGGGGGGGGAGAGAGAGAGGCCACGTCTGCGCGTGGGAGCCTCCTCCTCCTGCCCGGCCTCTGTATTTCTGGCCGCGTGCTGCGTGATCTGCTCGGGACCAGAGGCAGGGACTTCTCCCGCGACCGTGCAAATAGCAGGAGCACCCCCACCCACTCCACCCCCCCCAAGTGGCTCAACAGGTTGGAGAAACGCACTCGTGCCTTTGGCGAGCAGAGGCCCTGCCGGGCTTTGCCTTTTGGGGGGAGGGGGGTTTGGCCCGCCTTCTTCGGGGTCAAGCTGCGTCCGGTTTTGGGATTTTAACGCCTCAGCCGGTCCTTTGCTCCTGGTTGGAGAGCGTGAGCACTTCCTTTCTTTGTAGGTGAGCTTATTTGGGCCTCCGACAGCCAAAGAGCATAGGAGCTGTATAAAAATAAGAGGTTGGAATATGGTTTTCAAAGGGGGAGGCAATGATAAATGAGAAATCTTGCACGTATTTGTTTGGCTGTGAGACTCACTGCATTCCGTGTGTTTTAAGGACAGCGGCTCGATGTGGCAGGGAGCTTGTGTAACAGCTGTGGTGCCATGGATCCTAGCCGCCAGGAGCTTCCAAAACAACACTGCATAATGAATATAATGCATGACTATAATGGATGGTAATGGGATAGGCATATACATTTTTATCAGATGGGGAATGCTTTCTATAAGGAGGGCTAAAATGTGGCAGCAGTAGCAGAAGTGGTGCAGTTTTTCAAGTTCTCCAGTTATCTTTGTCATGCAAAACGTAACACGCATTAGAAGATGCATTTATTTATTTAAAATACTTAGATGCTCCTAAAAGAATCTAAGGTAGCTTACAGTATTAAAAGAAACAATATTGAAAACTAAAACAATAGATTTTTAAAATATTAAAAAAGAAACAAATATTGAAATAAAACTTGTAAGTGAAGACAGTATCAAAAACACATTAAAAACAACAGAAATACAATAGTCCCTTAAAAAAACACACAACTAGTCACCCAGTTATTAAAAGAAAGCCTGCCTCAAGAGAAAAGTCTTTGCTTGCAAGAGGACAGCAACATGAGGCCAACTTGGCCTCCCATCAGATGGCGTTCCAGAGTCTGGGAGAAGCAACAGAGAAGGTCCTCTCCTGTGTCCCCACCAAGCACGCCTGTGAACGTCTTGGGACTGAGAGAAAGTCTAAAGCCAGGTCTGGCTCATCAAGGGAGATACAGTCTTTCAGATAGGTTGGGCCCAAACCATTTAGGAGGCACTGTAAAACAGAGCCTCCCGGATCCATCCCAGAGAGATGGCCCGGAAGGATACTAGGGTTGATGGTATCAAAAGCTGCTGAGAGGTCCAGTTGAATTAAGACACACACACACTTCTGTCCAGTTCCTGGTGTGAGTCATTCACCAAGGCAACCCATACTGTCTCCGTCCCATAGACTGAAATGGATCTAGATAATTTGTCTAATCCAGGGACCTCTGGAGCTGAAAAACCATGACCCATTCTAGCACCTTGCCCAAGAACAGAACATTAGAGAGTGGCCAATGATTATTCAATATCATGGGATCCGAGGAGAGCTTTTTTTAAGCCATGTTTTTACTACTGCTTCCTCTACATCTGCTGGGATCCTACTCTGCTGCAAGAAGGCATTCTTGCAGAAAATACGTATCAGATTTGCGGGTGACACAAAATTGGGTGGAATAGCTAATACCTTGGAAAACAGAAATACTGTAAAATGTACAAAGATCTTGATAAGCTTGAGCACTCAATTGAAAACAGTGGAGGCCTCACTGTAGTGAGTCCCTAAAATTTAACAAAGTGCAAAGTTCTACTTCTAGGAAGAAACACATGCACAGTTACAAGATGGGGGTACTTGGTTCAAAAATACTGCAAGTTAGAAGGATCTTGGAATTATTGTAGACAATATGTCTGATAGTCGAAATATCAACCTTGTAACAAAATAGCTATGTGGTGCATAAGTAAACATTGGGTAGAACTTTCTAATAGGATCACAAATAGCAATAATACTAAAAATAATAATACAGTGTGTAGTGTGGCCCATTGCAATCTCCAACTGCTCACTAAGTTCATGTAGAATTGTATATACAGTAAATCATTTGGCATAGACTTCCCCAGCCTGCCTGCTTATACAGATGTGTTGAACTATAACACCTAGATTATATGAGAGCTGGAGTCTAACACATCTGGAAAATACTTCCTTAAGGAATATTGTGCTAGCTGGATAGCTTAGTGGCTTAGGTATCTGACTGATTGGGAGTTCAACTTCACACTGTTCCTCCTGAGAGAAGAGCCAGCCTGTGTGGCCTTGAGCAAGCTGTGCAGTCCCAGGGCAACCCTAGAAGAAGGGAATGATAAATGACTTCTGAATATTCTCTCCTTTAGAATGGATAGGTTTGTTCTCCTTGCAGTCCAGGGGACTCTCAAGAAATACTAGTTCTACTCTATTCAGCATTGGTTAGGTCTCATCCAGAGAATTGTGTCCAGTTCTGGACACCACACTTTAAGATGGATGCCAACAAACTGGAGCAAGTTCAGAGGAGGCCAACAAGGATGATCAGGGGACTGGAAAGCAAGCCCTATGAGGAAAGACTGAAAGATCTGGGGATATTTATCTTTGAGAAAAGAGGACGGGAGATATGATAGCACTTTTCAAATACTTCAAAGATATACAGAGGAGGGGTCTGTTTTTGATCATCCCAGACTGCAGGACATGTCATAATAGAAAAGTGAAGTTGGAAGGGGCCTACAAGGCCATCAAATCCAACCCCCTGATCAATGCGGGAATGAGCTCAAGATACAGGAACCCAGATTTAGGCTGAATATCAGTAAAAATGTCCTGTTAGAGCAGTACAGCGATGGAACCAATTACCTTGGGAGACTGTGAGCACTCCAATGCTGGAGGCATTCAGGAGAAATTTGGACAATCATCTGTCAAATCTGCTTTGATTTGTATTCCTGCACTGAGCAGGGGGTTGAACTCAGTGGCCGTATAGGTCCCTTCTGATTGCATTATTTTTTTTTTTTGATTCACCATTCCTTCTACCCATTCAGTTACTCCCTCTCTGGCAGCTTTTATAAGCTAGGAAGAGCAAGGGTTCATTGTACATATGGTAGACTTCACCTCTCTTAACAGTCCTGTCCACATCATCAAGCTGCAAAAACTGAGTTCAAACTCTGCACCAGTGTGTTGCCTATTACACATCTCTGTAGCTGCAAGATGGAAATTGCAGACTTCGTTAAGAGAAGTAAAGTACCAGTTTTTGGTTTATTGAGATACACAGTTCTTGGTTTTTCTCCACCCCCAAAGATTAGATGACTAGCTTCTTACAACAACACAGGGTCCTGAACTGGCTTGGAGCATAGGACAGAGTAGTGTGGCAATTTTTAGATGAGCTAAAATAGAGATTAAGTTCAGCTGTTAGAGAAACGAAGTACAACTGAAGCCAAATTGTCAGGTGTTGCCTAGTGGTTAGAAATCAGTGGAGGCCTCACTGTAGTGAGTCCCTAAATGGTCAATCAGCTTTGAGTGAGTAATTGCAATATATTTGATAGTAAAAACATCAACCTAGTAACAAAATAACTAAGTGGTCCATAAGTAAACATTGGGTAGAACTTTCTAATAGGATCATAATGCAGTGTGTAAAGTATAGGGTGGCCTGTTGCAATCCCCAAGTGCTCACTAAGTTCATGTAGAATTGTATATAAATCATTTGACATAGCGTGCCAGATGATTTATATACACAACTTGTAGGTGAATGTTGACCTAGAAGTGAGTTTCCCCCCCCCTAGGAATTTTTCCAGGCACTAAGGCAGACTTCCCCAGCCTGCCTGCTTATACAGATGTGTTGAACTACTATAACACCTCAGCTAGGTTATAGCTTATGAGAGCTGGAGTCTAACACATCTGGAAAATGCTTGCTTAAGGAATATTGTACTAGCTGGATAGCTTAGTGGCTTAGGTATCTGACTGACTGGGAGTTCAACTTCCCGCTGTTCCTCCTGAGAGAAGAGCCAGCCTATGTGGCCTTGAGCAAGCTGTGCAGTCCCTTCTTCCCTAGAAGAAGGGAATGATAAATGACTATTATATTATCTCCCTGGAAAACTCTGAAAAGGGTTGCCATGTCAGAACTTACTTGATGGCACACTATTGTTGTTGTTGTTGTTGTGGTGGTGGTGGTGGTGGTGGTGGTGGTGGTGGTGGTGTTCAAGGACCTCATGGTGTGACTGAAGGCAGTTCCCTCTTATTAAATGAGTTAGGGCTGTTTGACTGCTCTTTGAATGTGTCCATAACCATGTTGTAGAATTAAGGAGAATTTCTTACACATTTGCTTTTCTTTCAGCAGTAAGAATGGCTTCTGTCAGAACACGGGCGCCTTTGGCTGCTTGTCTTCTAAATATTTCGGAAGGAAGGAAAAAAGATGTTGTTGAAAAAATAGCGAGAGCCGCCATTCGTGAGAAGAATGGTAAGAAGGTTTGAACGTCATAGTCCTATCCAGGTTAAGCTGTTTGTAGCCCACTCCTGTATATTTTCACTTACTGGATCATAATGAATCACTATTGGAAATTTTCTCCCCGGTATGTGGAGGGCAAGTTGCTCATTTGGCCAGGACATGGAGTAGAGCCTTCTTTGTGGTGGCACCAAGGTTTGTGGAATCCCTCTTTGCCCTCCTGAGGCTGAACTGGCAAAGAAACGGGCAGTTGAGGCTTCCTTGTTCTACTCAGCCAACCATGTTCTGCCTGCGTTGTTCAGTGTTCCAGTTCAGTCATCAAATGTGAGCTCCTGTTCTAATGTTATCGTTGGGTGTTCATTGTGAATTGTTCTCCATGATGTTACCAGTTGGCTTCAAGGTCCAAGTGGTAGAATAAAAATACTTGAAATAAACAATGGCATTGGAATCTTAAAGATTTTATTCCTTGTAGAAGCAAACTGACCCTGTAGTAGATTATATCATGTTAGTAAATAATATTTACACTTTTCCTCCCTTCATGGTGGTCTCATTTTTTTGCCCAGAAACAGGATTAGGCACCCTATGACACTCCAGACGTTCTTGGCCTCCAGTTCCCATCAGCCCCAGACAGCCTGGCCCATGGTGAGGGGTGAGGGGAAGAGTAGATTGTAAAAGTCTATAGAGAGCCACATGTTTGTCAGGCCCACCTGGAAAGAAAAGTGGTTGCCATTAATCGTGGCTGGTGGCGGTGCACAGAAATCACTAAGGCCTACTTCCTGCCCACAAGGGAAGGATGAATTTGCAAGAGAGGAAGTGGGAGGTGGCACCAGAGAGGACTGCATTCTTGGCAGCGGCTTCCAATCTGCAAACGTTTGTTTCAGGGAGAAGATGTTCGCAGGTGTTCCGTCAATCTAATATTTCTCTAATATTGGCATCACATTATATACTGTAGCATGGCCCTGGCAGATCTGTCTCATTCCGAATGGCTTCTTTCCGAGTCCTGCCAATTTGAGGAGCCCTTCCTTTTCTACTCCAGTCATAAAACTAGACTGAAATCATGCACACAGTCAACTGATAGGAAGTCCCGTTGGACACATTAAACAACATTCTGTTGCTTAACTCCGCACAAGCATATTCTGGATTAGTTAACAATCTATCCTGTTAGATTGCCACTAGCGGGCAATCTAAGCCCACCAATGGCAATCTGGTGGTGTTTTTATGCTGTTCAAGCTCCTCCTGGCCCCAAGGCTCCCAAAGGCTTCCCCAGGGCAAAAGAGAGACCCACATAGACTGAGAACTTAAAAGGAGGGTAATGGGGAGGTATTTTTTTTTAAATACTGGTACCTGATGTGGGTTACACCATGCAAAGATATGCCAGCAGGATTTTGCTTGATGAGCCCTACAGCTGAATAGACTGGCACAGGTTAATGAGCAAAATCCTATTGCTTAGTTATTTTGGTGGAAGACAAATGGCATTACAGGCATTGGTTTCTCACTGGCAATAAATGAGCCCCCATGTGGATTTTTGGGCATGTACCAACCTAATCAGTTGGTGTGCACCCAGAAATCTAAGTAGTGACTCATTTGTTTGAAGTGAGAAGCAGCTGTGATTTGCCTTCCGCAGGTATAATTGATTTTCAGGATTTTGCCCAATCTCAAAAACTGGGCCAAATATATATATTGTATCTATCTATGCCCAGTTTTGGCGTCCTTCCCCAACTATGACCAGTAAGCTGACTTGGTCCATGCTGATTATTTTTGAGGTTCCCTCTTCTTTAGGTTTTTTCCTTAAAGTCTTTCTGTGCTTCTGCAAACCTTTGGGTTATTGCAAGCTAGCTGATGCTACTGTTCTGTATGTGGTTGCTGCCATTTCGGTTGGATAAGCAACAGCACTCACATATAAATGCTGGAAATGACAGTCCCACATGTTGTTTTCTAGTGAAGAGTCGCATAACTGGGGGAGAGTTGTTATATAAAAAGGTGCTGCACATCAGGTCACTCTCCTTGTCCCTTGTAGTCTAGTACAGTATGGCTTCCTCTGATATGCAGCAGCTCTACATGGTCATAAGTAGAGATGGGCAAGAGTTTTTTAAAAAAACGATTCACCAAATTCATTCAAAAAATCGCTAAATGGCTTCCTCTAGTATGCAGCAGCTCTGCATGGTCATAAGTAGAGATGGGCAAGAATTTTTAATAAATGAATCACCAAATTCATTCAAAAAATCGCTAATTCATCGATTTGTATTTGTATAAATAGGTGCCCCCAACAAATACTGTACTAATCAATGGATTTTTAGTGATTATTTATTTTTATTTTTTTAATTTATTGGACTATAGGCCACCCACCCCTGGCACCTAGAGACACTAATGAATCGGTGCCCCCAACGAATGCTAATCCATGGATTTTTAATTTTTCAATTTATTGGGCTATAACCCACCCACCCCTGGCACCTAGAGACACTAAGATTGCAGGCAGGGTTCCCTTGACTCTCCTCTACAACCCCTCCAAGTTTGGTGAAGATTGGGTTTCCACACCTTCTCTCTCTGTCTGTCTGTCTCTCTGTCCGTATCTCTCATATTGTCAGCATTGCTATAGTTCTTTTGCTGGAGAGGAGACTGAATAAGACAAAAATCCTCTCCAGCCCTCTGACTTTCAGATGATTTTATCTTCTACACCTTCTCTCTCCCTATCTCTCATATTGTCGGCATTGCTATAGTTCTTTTGCTGGAGATGAGACTGAATAAGACAAAAATCCTTTCCAGCCCTCTGACTTTCAGATGATTTTATCACAGCTACATTTTGGTCAAACATTTTGGGCTGTGTGTTTATGAAGCGACAACCATTTAATATATAGTTTTAGAACTTCAGACCTGGAAGGGACTCTAGGGATCATTGAGTCCAGCTTCTGTCAAGAAGGCCCAGTGGGGGGGAATTGAACTCCCAGCTTTCTGGCTCTGCAGCCGGAGACCTGAGTCGGTGAGCTATGCCAAGCTGCATCCTTTCAGCTCGCAGAAAGGGGCTTTCGAATAAAATCTGTAGGATTTGTTATGCAGCTGAAGGCAAGTAACTAACTAGCATGTTCTGCTTGAAGGGGGATTATGGTGATCTGTGTGCACTTCTTTGTAAGAGTATTTTGTATCATACCCTTTTGGTTGAATCTGAAGCTCATGGAGTGGACTGTATGTTACCTTGATCACACGGAGGGTATATTTCCACAAAAATAGACCTGCCTTCCAACTCTTTAGTGATCACCCTGACTCCCCCCAGACAATCTTGAGAGTTCCAGTTTGGGGAAGTGCTGAGAATCCACCCTTAGCAAATCCTCTGTTCTTTCTCTACAGCAGATTCAGGACTAAAGGGAAATGACTCTCAAATCAGTTTGAAGTTGCAGTCCTAAATAGTTTTACAAAGCAACACCCGCAGAATGTAATGTTGCTTGTTTTCTGAGCAAATGTGCACAGGGTTATGCTTCAGGGTTTAAGAGTTAAGCCCAGTGGATGGTAGTGTACAAAACTCTTCTGTGTTTCCCTAATTCAGTGGTTCTTAACCTTGGTTACCCAGGAGTTTTTGGACTGCAACTCCCAGAAGCCTTCACCATCAGCTCTGCTGGCTGGGGTTTCTGGGAGTTGCAGTTCAAAAACACCTGACAACACTCGGTTAAGAACCACTGCGCCTAATTAACATGGAGAATACAGGGGAGCAACTGCTTCCCTCTAGATGTCTTTGAGCTACTGCTCGTATCAGCCTTAGCGGGCATTGCCAACAGTGAAGGGTTAGGGCAGCTGTGGTCCACTTGGGTGATGACCGTTGCTCATCCTGATTTAGAACCTCAAGAGCTAAAAGCTTCCGCTCCAACATGTTGATGTCCACATAAGTTCAGCTCAGCTCAATAGAGGACTCACTTCCAAGTGAATGGAGTTAGCTCAGGGCGTAGTTCACTGGGACTTCAGGTATTGGTGGCTACGGGTGTTGGGGGTTGTGATCCTACGACATCTGGAAAACCACACATTCCCAATTCCTTGTGCCATTTATGTTTAATATACTTCATGGACTTAAGCTGAATCTGATGCCTTTATTTGGTATCATAACCGCAAAAACTTGATCCCCATTTCCTCCCTTCTTTGCCCACAGGTCAGGAGCATTTCCCAGCAACAGTACTGAATATTTTTTCTGATCATGACTATAACAGGTCTGTCATAACAATAGCAGCTCCCGTGGACAGGCTAGGTGAGTTGGCCCCTGTTGCTTCTTTTCTTCCTTTGAAAGGTGTGTTTCAGCACCATAAGGTTGCAGTCCTACACACTAAACGTCCTATTAAACACTGTGGGATTTTTATGTGAGTAGACATACCAAGAAGTGTGCTGTAAGCCAGAAAACATGCTCCAGTTTCTAGTGAATGAGGAACTGAAATAGGGATGAAAGACATTCGTGGGACCTGTGGTCAAATTTTCGTGTGCGGTGCTGTATCTGGCCCCCAAATGGGCCCAAAAAAAGGTATGGGCGGGGAAACTGGAAGTCACTGGGCAGGAATTTATGGTTTGGGCTTTTTGGGGTTCTGGGTTTTCACTTGGCTGGGGACGGGGCTTGCAGCATGTCCCCCCCCCAGAGTGGGGATAAAAAACCCTCTTTCTTCATGAAAGGGAGATGTTGGGGTCTCAGCAATGCCTTGAAGGGTCACCTGTGGCCCAGGGACCCCTACACTGACTCTACACTGGGCGTTAAACAACACTTTTCTGAGCTGAAAGGCCACTGTTAACATGCATCTAATTTTGTTAGCCACTCCGAAAGGTTCCTTACTGAAGACCAGTTTAGGATAACATGAGTTAAATCAAATATAGACATCAATTTATCAAATTAAATCTATTATAATAAAAGAGAATGTATTTCTGTCTCTGCAATAGTGAGACAGACCAAAACATCTTAAATGTAGTATTGATACTAAAGGTTCCTAGGGGTATGCACTTTAAGGATGTTGCTGTTGTGCGTTGTCCAGTCACCGGGTGATCCTATGAATGAGCCACCTGCAAAAGGACCTTGTCCCTCAGCTGCCCTGCTCAGCCCTTGTAAACTCAAGCCTGTGGCTTCCTTTAGGGAATCAGTCCATCTCCTATTTGGTCTTCCTCTCTTCCTGATGCCCTCCACCTTTTCCAGCACGATGGTCTTTTCCAGAGAGTCCTCCCTCCTCATGATGTGCCCAAAATAGGACAGCTTTAGTTTCAACATTATTGCCTCCTGGAGATAATTCAGGCTTGATTTGATCTAGGACCCACTTGTTTGTCCTTCTGGTATTCCAGGGTATCTGCAAAGCTCTCTGGTGCCAACAAAAGAAGACCCTTGAATCCATTGCCGAACATGTGTCTAAATCCAGTGGATTCAGTAGATCTGTTTCTGTTTAAAATTGGATTTTGCCTGTTTTAGAATGATCACGGGTCTGTCTGTAGCTTGCAGTACTGCCTTCGTTCACTAGGTGGCAGACAAAACTGCTGTCAGGCCTGGAATACCCTTTTCTTAGATGGCTTCTAGGTGAACTACAAATCCTCTTCCCGATTGAAGGGCACGCAGGCTGTTCAGTGAAAAGGAAAGGAAAGGAAAGGAGGGGAGGAAGGTGGAGGAAAGAAAAGGCCCTGCTGTTGAGTAAAGGACCAGGGTGAGCAGAAAGAACAGTGGTATAAAGGAAGATGAAAAGAATAGAGGACAAGGAAGCTTTGAGACGAGAAGATAGTTGGGGGGGAAGGAAGAACGCTAGGGTGGGGCTGAGCATTGAGGCATTTCTAACCCTTACAAAGATGAGTCCTTTTGCTAGTAAATAAATAAATTGCAGTAGAGTGATACTAATTAAAAGGAACTCTCTGAAATTATATTATCAAGAGTACAGAACTCTGGGGCAAAACAAGTCAATATCCAGAAGTTGGGAAACAAGGAGCTGCTCCAAAATTTACGTCGGTTGCTGTTGGTGCTGATGGCCCAGTTTCTATTCACAGCTTTTTATTTTATTTTAGGAGACAGACCTGAAACACCAAGACGTCCTGTCAGTGGATTGGAATGATAATTGGTGAAAACACCAGTGTTTGGTTAGGATTAAGAAGGACGTGTTGTATAGATTTTATGTACTTAAACATTAGCATAGTTTTCAAGGGCTTGCTTTTGTTCCATTCATAATTTGCTCAGTATTGCACTTACAAAGGGCACACTCACTTTTGAGATATGATTGTATGATGGAGGAGCAGAATAAAATATTATCTTTTTCTTCTTTCTGCTAGAAACATTCTGTAGGGATGTTTATGATGTGCATCAAAATGGATTTGCCAAGCAAAGTTAGCAAGTGAGTGTCAAGTGCTTGTAAATATTGACACGACAGCATTTGGTACTTGAGTGGAAAAAGAATGCTTTGTAAAGTGTGATTGAATAGCAAAGCCAGCATGATAATAAGTGGGCCGTGATCTTTTAATATGTTTGCAGGATTCATCAGCAGCTGTTCTGCAAGGTGAGTAGGTTTGTAGGAGGAACAAGACCTTGAAATTTCTCAAAAAAAAAAATTATTAGTGCTTAGTATAAATAAGAGGAGCTAACTTGTTCCTGTAGAACAGTTGACAGAAGTGCTATTTTCTGTCCTTTCTTTGTACATTTTTTTAAAAAAAAAATCTTTTTAAGGTATTTTGAATAAGAGTGACTCACATCTAGTCTTCCTTTCCAGATTCAATTCATGGCACAGTACCCAGTGTTCTGGGGGACAGAGTGTTGTTTGCATAGTTATGTTGTAACCCACCTAGAGAGTGCTTTAGGATTATGGGGCGGTATATACGTCAAAATAACAAAATTTCTTTGAATTTTTCTTTGTTGTTAGGCTGCTCTGTAGTTGCTGCTTGCACAGAAGCTTTCTCGTTGATAGATATGGCGTCGCAGGTTGGAATCCATCCCTGCCTCGGGGCAGTTGACTTGGTACCCATTTACCCGTTGTCAGGGGTCAGCGTGGAACAGTGTGGAACAGTGGCTCGAAGTAAGCAAAAGTGGGATACCTTGAGGTTTTGCCAACCATGGGAGAACCTGTACCCTCCCAATGTAGATGGACTGTACAGTGGTGCCTCGCTTAACGACGAAACCGAATACTTTGCGATCGCTTTTGCGATCGGAAAACGATGTTTTAATAGGCAAAATCTGCTTTGCGACGATCAGTTCCCTGCTTCGGGAACCGATTCTTTGCATTACCACATTTTTAAAACAGCTGATTGGCGGCTTCAAAATGGCCGCCCACTGTGTAAAATGGCCGCCCGCAGTGTTTTTGGATGGATTCCTCACTTTACAGGCACCAAAAATGGCTGCCCCTTTGGAAGAGCTTCACTGGACGGTGAGTTTTTCAGCCCATTGGAATGCATTGAACGAGTTTTCAGTGCGTTTCAATGGGATTTTTTATTTCGCTTAATGAGGATTTCGCTCTACTGTGATTTCGCTGGAACGGATTATCCTCGTTAAGCGAGGCACCACTGTAGTTCTTTTCATTCTCAGCAACATGGCCAGAGATGAGTGTAACTGATGGTAGCTGTAACTCAGTAACTTCCGGAGAGCTACTCTTACGAGTTCCTGGTCTTACACAAAGACCAGGAGAAGAATCCTGTTGGATCAGCAGGGCTTGAAAAATTTTAGTCAGTCAAAAATTTCACCAGTCAGTATGACCGGACTATAGCCTTGCAATTTATGTTAACAAATTTAAACTAGGCACTTGTTCACTTTCATTTCTACGTAACAATGCATGCAAACCCAAAATAAATTGTATTATGTACCCTCAGACTTGGGTTGCTTTATTGCCTGTGTGCCTGTGGGGTCATGAAGCTTGTACAGTGGTGCCACCATTTCCCATAGGAATGCATTGAAAACTGATTAATCTGTTCTGGCAGAAGAAAAAAATACCAAAAATATAAAAATGAAAATGAAAATAAACATAGCAAGTCCCATGCTGGGACTGCAAAAAACAAACAAACAAAAACCCCAAAAAACAAAACAGAAACGTAACCCCCCCAGCCCAAACCTACCCTCCAAAACCCACCCAGAACAACTTTTTTAAAAGGAAAAAGTAGCACCTTACCAGTCCGAAGCCTTTGCAGAGGCTTCCTGGGCTTCCAAAGCACCCGGCTACTTCTCCTTCCTCCTCCTGCGCCGCTGCAGCACGCCCCATCCACGAAGCCCCTCCGACCCGCACACCCAGCCCAGGGCCTTTGGCAGCCCTTACTCCAAAGTAGACCCGCAATTTCTGTAGTGCTTACTCCCGAGTAGACCCACACCTTCTGTGGCACGTAAACCCGTGCCAGGGATGGGTAGGGAGCACATAGGCTTCCCGCGCCCGTTGGCGATCCAGAGCCGCCCCGCCTCTCCTTCCTCCTCCTGCTCAGCAGAAGTAAAAAAAAGTTCCCTGACCCCCTGCTCTAACCGTTGGGGCGAAAGAGCTACAAAGAAGCAGCCTCTTTGCCACCAATGGTTTGAATTTCCTACCTTTTTCCCCTGCCTTTTTCCGTTTGTAAGTCAAAGCTCCAACCGCAAATCAAAGCAAAATTTTGCGGCCGGAACTGTTCGTAAGTCAAATTGTTCGTAGGTCAAGGTGTTTGTAAGTCAAGGCACCACTGTATTTTGAATGCCTTTCGTTTGAATGTCTCCAGCAAAAATAAAACTGAAAGCAAAAGCGCCTGGCCTGTTAAGGAGCCACAGTTCCCTCCTACCCCAAGATGTGTCCTCGTTCGGTTGAAATTGGAGCAGGGAATCTCCATATTCTCCAGCGTGGGACTACTCTACATTCTCCTGCAGAGCTATATCTCTATGTACTGTTCAAACTCTCTTTTTGAGGGCAGTTTTCCTTTTGCAGGACTGGGGAGGAGAGGACTGCAGGTTGAGAGAGAGAGAGAGAGAGGTGGAGGGGAAAGAGGCAGGCAGGCAGGGAGCTGTGACTCGTTGAGCAGCATTTTTCACTCATCACAGATGAGCGGACGAGTGCATTTTTCAAGCCCTGTGGATCAGATTAAAGGCCGGTATTACCTAATGTCCTCTTTACACAGGTGCCAAACCGGTGCCCATGGAAACCCACAAAACAGAGCAAGAACATCCCCCAGCTAATGCTTCTCAGGAATTGATACACCGTGGTCCTTAAAATGGTCACTATCAAAATGCCTGTTGCTAAGATTCGGGGTGGCTGCGGCAGCAGTAGCAGAGGTGGCAACGAATCTGGGAGGGATGGGAGGCAGAATCCACAAGGCAGGCAACTGGAATTAGCAAGGAAAGGAGCCTATGCTCCCCCCCTCCTTCTGAGACCTGCCTAATCCAGGCTTACATTGAACCTTGAAAACAAGGGCTTTAGATAGGAACTTGTGAAACATGTCTGAAAAGATTTTCTGTTTTTCTGCCTGCTCGGAATCACATGTCCAGGATGTTTCGGCTTGCAGTCCTTGACTCACATAGAAGTAGATTCAGATTTGTTTATTTGTATCTAGTCATCAGACCATCACAAAACAAGGTTTAATAAAGGGAACTACTGATCTATACACAGTTATCTCAAGTTTACAGAGATAAAAAAAAAGCCTTTATTATACATAACACAAACCCAAATGATCCATGGAAATCCTTTAAAATTCCTGAGTTCCTGGACAAAGCACAGCATTTCTTTTTAGAAACTTGTTGTGGAAGGAAGTTCCCTTGGGCTCTGTAGGACTTGCTTCAGAATAGATCAGCATAGTAGATTTTCCTGTTGTAGGAATTTGGAATATTTACATTTTAAAAATATATTTTAAAATTGTTTTTGGCAGGTTTATATATATATATATGTATACTAGTCCAAAGCTTTGAGATTTGCAGAGCAAACAGTAGGAGGTTTGAAAGAGGACTAAGCATAATTGACTGGGGGAACATGGAAATTGTAGTCCAATTTCTCTGGAGGGAATCATGGCGAAGTGTGTTCTAAGGGGTGATCTTTCCTTCTGCCGCTTTCGTCCTTCAGATATTGCAGAGCGCTTGGCTTCATGTGTGCCTGGATGCAGCATATTTCTTTTTGGCCATGCGGATCTCTCAAAGAAGCAAAGCCTGGTTCAAAGAAGAAAGCAGCTGGGGTGGTTTAACCGTGGAGCTTTCCAAGCAACTCATGTTATCCCTGATGTAGGATCCACACCAACATTAAGATATGGTTTAACAGGTATGACATGAAACTACAGATGGCACTCTGCCTCATGGTAGGGCCAGTCTGATAAGTGACTAACTAGACCAGGGATGGGCAGACCATATCCTTCCAGATGGTGAGAGACTGCACCTCCACTGTTTCACCATTGGCGGTGGGGACAAGGGCTGCTCAGTGCGGCGCACAAGGAACGTCTTGAAGCACCGCATTTTGTGCATCTCTGAACTAGAGAGATATCACTTGGGTTGCATTCATTTGCCTTTTGGCAAATTGCTCATATTGTAAGTTTATTGAGTTTTATTCTTTTAATCTGTATAGTTTTATGGCTTAGTATCTTACACACTTACTTAGGAGTAAGTCACTTTTAATGCAGTGTAAATGAGTACTGTAGACATTTATAGGATTGCTCTGTAAATGATAAGTGAACTGGCTCCATCCTTGGCTACCATTTCCAGTTGGTGAAATTACCCTTGGCCATCGTGTAGCCAGTTTTTTTTGGGGGGGGGGGGCATCCCTAAAAGTCCAACGCC